CGACGGGCGGGAAGGGCCTCGGAGGCGGCGGCCGAAGGGCCTCCTCCAGCGGGGCGGCGGTTGCAACGGTGCCTCTTGACTCCCGCAGGACTGAAGGACATGAGGAGGAGCCTGCGAGCCGTGGACTGCCTGCTGGAAGTGCACGATGCCCGTATATCCTTCTGGAGCTGCGGGGAAGTGGTTCGCCGCGCAGCCCTCGCTTCTGCCCGCCGGGTCGTATCACCGAGTAGACCCGGAGAGTGGCTCGCGAACGTGAGAAGAGCCTGCTCACAGCGCATCCATGGAGCCTCCTTGCCCCAGCAGCCTCTGCCCAGGATGTCTCATTGCCAGCCCGCTCCTAAAGCATCCCAGAGACTGATTTAGGAGTTCTGGTGTGGAACTGACGTTGTCCGTGTTATGCAGGCGTAAGGCAATCCGTGCAGACCATCTGGGGTGCACGCAGGTGGCTGTCTGAGGTGATGCGGTTGGGGTCAGTGATCTGCAAATGGCCTGCCTCCTTCCATCCCGTCGCTGGCTCTGTGCCTGTTCTGCACTGCTGGCTTGGCTATGTGGGAGACCAGAAGGCTTGTTTCTACAGCAACTTATTTCTGGACTCTTTTTTTCCCTAATGGATAATTTGATCAATCAATCTAAAAGATCACTGCATTGATTGAGAGGCTGTGCAATCCACCAGATGGATCCTGCACACATACTGTTCCTGCTCTTGAATACCAGTTCTATTCATGCTGTGCTATGAAGCAGATAGTCTGGGGGCTTCCTGTATATGGAGGTGGGCAGGGGATTTCCATTGCTCTGCCCACAAGATAGACCAGCACCATCTGTCAGGTGCTATGAATTGTACTGTCTCACAGCTGAAGAACAACCACAGAGCCCAGCAATGAGACAGAAGGGGCAGTCCCGCAATTGGAGGCAAGACCAATTGGAGCCAAGCAGGTCACATACCCTATCTGCATCATCTCAGTCTGCCTCTTCCACATACCCTAGATTGTTCCACATGGAATATTTTGCTGGGGGAAAACATCACTTCTACCCCAGAACACCTGGGCTGCCTTAACAGCAGGCTGATCATGAGATAGAAGCAGGGTCTTGAAAACACATCCTTGGTAAACAATAAGTAGTACATCTTAATGCTGGGAAAGGAAGCAGTGCAGATGGGCTCATAATTCAGCATTTTGTTCAGTCCTGTTCTCCAGTCCTTGTTATAGGGATAATGCTCAAGCTTCTAATTATTTTGGTTGCCCTCTTCTACGGTTTTCCCAGCTTTTTGTGTTAGTAAGGCAGGATTTACCTTTGTGGAATCAATGCTGATTTTCCTTGAACAAAGTGTGTTCTTCAGTAGGATTACAGTAGTTATTTTTCCATTGACTCCCATTTCTACCATTTTGATTAGAACGGACATTAAGCTGGCCAGCCTATAATGCCCATTGTCCTTTCCAAATTAAGAATTTGAGAATGATAGGATTTGGGCTCTCGTGTTGAGTTCACCTACCATTTTGTTTTCACTGTAAATGCAGTCTCTGTGGTGCAGGTAGTAAATCTGTGCTCCCCATTGCGCGTCTGGATTGCGGGTCTTTGTTTCCTTAGCACATGCACATTCCACTTTCCGGCCGGAATCCTATGTTGCACGAAGTCCTGGGCATCCGTCCACATTTGTTAGTGTTGAATAAAATGGATCTGGCAGATCTCACCCACAAGTCAGTAAGTAGAATCTTGTCAGTTTTTCCTCTTTCATAGACTGTAGGCTTAACCAGAGTTTGAAAAAACACCCTAAGTATCTCAGTAAGGATATAGGATGGAAACTATTTCTTTTAGTTTAGATTGCTCTTTGAAAGGTTGGTCCTGTCAAATGTTTCAGGCTAACTTTACAGTAGGGAACCTGAACTCCTGCTGTTTGAATCATACTGTTTTGTGTCTGATGTTCAAGTTTCATATCTGCCATTGCCCTGTTTGATAACACCTGGCTTCTTCGTCAGCCTCTTGCCTTATTGGTGTTTGCTTAATTTAGTTTACAAATTAATGAAAGGTGGAGAGGTTGCTCACTCCATGCTAACCACAATTCCTGCTTGTATGTATTGTGTGAGTCTGGTAACAGTTTTTCATCAGAAATCAGTAAAAGAACTGACAAAAAGAATGACCTTGTTGAGGGGATAAAAGTGACATGTTTTACAGTGTTCTATGAATATCCCAGTGTGTTGGATAATAGCATATACTCTTCCTAAGTACTAGCAAGAATAGTTCAAAGAAAGCTGCAATTATCTGAGGTGATGTTTCCAAACCATACCTATTGCTTCCATTCCCCATTTTTATGAAGAAGAAACCTCCATTGGAAATGGGATATGAGAAAATAAATTACATATTAGCAAACATAATCTATATTTAATTAATTATCTGTTGTTCAGCCTAATTTGCAATGCTTATGGAGTAGTTTAATGGTCATACTACAATAAGAACTAGTTAGCATAATTATATCAATGCTGCTTAGCTGCTGTACTGTTTTACTGACCAACTTAAGAAACTAACAGCAGTGGGGGGGGAGCATAAATTTCCTCTACTCTTTTCCAGTGATCCCCCCCTCACTGTTTAACACATTACTATATCCAGTGAAGGAGAGTTTCCCCACCTTCCCCATTAACTGGGTCCACTGTCAGAGCACTGTCCACTGCTCTTATTATGAAGATACTTTTCTCAGTGCTGAGTGAGGATCAGCCTTCTTAGCACATATATCATGTCATGATAAAAATCATGATGATGTACTTTTTATTGTACATTTATGAATAATGAACTTTCCTTCCCCCCAATTAGCTCATTAAAAAGGCTTTACCATATTACATTTACAGCATTCCAATAATGGGATTCGTCTTACTTGGTCTTGGTTAAAGCTATTAAATTATATTTGACCTTCTATATTAATAGCTGAAGCTCATCTTATTTATTTCCCATTCTCTGAACATTAATGCATAGAATATGAAAGCCATATGTTCTGTAAGGCAGAGTTTGTTCTATTTTTTCACAGAGTGGTTTAAGACCTACTTCAACAGTACACTCCCCCTACAGTGCATAGATCTTTTTTCTTAGATCCTGGGTTTTTGACTGCCTCAGGATTCACTTTAATCCAACTTGCCATGTTTTGCCAGAATGCATTTTTACCAGTCTGTATGTAATGCAATCCATCTTGTGCCAGCAGTCCCTCACTGAAATAATTCAGGCCATGGATTCCAGGAATTACAGCTATCTTATTGATACCAGTCACTGACTTGTAGTGTCCTTTCCCTTTCTGGTCCTCTTTCATGGACTAGAAGGATGGGTGACAATACCACCTGAACTCCTAGGGCCTTAAACTTTTTTTTTCTAATCTTCAAAATTTGTGGCTGTTCATTGTGCTGACATTTGTCCTCACATTAGCAGGACTGAATAATTATCAGAGGACTGGATAACTTTTAGAAGTTGAAGGGGATTTTGATCCTTGCTTCTGGCAGATTGTACTTTGCAAGCCAGTGGGTCCATCAGCATATGTTTGTTTAGATTCTTTGCTGTAGTGAATCACCAGCTACTATGATTTTTGTCTTTTGTCTTCTTATAGGGCACAATGGCATCTCCTTTGCCCTCCTCCTATAGGCCCCAGTCACTGTTTCAGAAATATCTAAACTGATCAGCCAGCTGAAATCTGGTAAGGCACTTGGAACAGATTTTAGGACCCCAATTCTGGCCTTACTTTTTACATGTATTGACATTTAAGCTAGAATGCCAAATGATTGGGGCCTAACAATAATTACTCTCATTTTTAAGAAGGGCAGTAGAGATCCCTATCAGTTGTTTCCCAATCAGTCTACTTAAGCACAGTCATTAAAATCCTTGTCAGATCTCTGTACTGGAAACTGTTAGACTTGGAAAGCATCTTGGCAGAAGAATAAGCTGGCTTTAGAGTTGGTCATAGTACCATTGATCAGTGCTTAATATTAAGTCATCTAGTGGAGAAATATACTCCAAAGCCTGCACTATAGGTATCTTTTATTGATTTTTAACAAAGCTTCAGTCACATTTTGAGATATATATATTTAAAGCCACAATCAATAGCTGTTTGTTTACATCTATAAATTTGATGTGAATACCTATTTAAGAGAAAGATGTAGCAGAGCCAGGCCCATTAGAAAAGGGGCTGGAAGGAATATGTCCTTGTCTCACTTCTGTTTAATTTTTGTATCAATTCAGTGGCTGAGTGTTACTTGTATATAACCGAAATGGAGTTAAGGCATAGAGCATGACTATTATATGCTGACAAAGCAGTAATTTCACTTAGTTACAGATAAGATAAAATAAGATAAGATAAGATGCACTGGGTACCCTAGCATATTTATTTATAAGGTTTAATAACTACCCCAATGCCAAAAGACTCTAGGTAATTGCAAAATATTAAACATAATAGCAATATTATGTTTAATATTTTTAAACATAATAGTTTTATGTATTTATATATTTTATGTTTTTAATGTTTGTTGTGAATCGCCCAGAGTTCCCCCATTGGGGGGAGATGGGCAGTTGAAAAATTTAATAAATAAATTAAATAAATAAATAAATAAATAAATAAATAAATATTGTCTTAGTAACAGACATTCTGGTGCTGATGACCTTGCACAATCAGTCTCCAAACCCCTTCCAGGAAAGCCATTTTCCTAGCTTGTGGAAGGTCATGAGAGTTGGAGCCATCCTCACCTGGAGGGACGGGCTCTTTTGGAGGAGGAGAGCTTCCACAAAGAACACCCCCCGTCAAGCCCTCTCCCATTGTGCTTGCAATAGAGGGGGACCTTCAGCAGGCACTTCCTGTTCATCTGGGTTGGGCAAGCGAAATCTACCTGGGCCAGGGAGGCTCATGGCTCCAAGCCATATAAGATTAGGGACCAGCACCTTGAGTTGCAGGGAACAACCACTGCAAATAAATTTTCAGAAAGCAACGTTTGAAAGGCTTATCTAGATAGTTAATCAACAAGTTGTAGAGTAGGTAGCATACTTCAAATATCTGAGAATGATTTTTCAATCAGTGACAGTGAAAAATCAAACTCAAGTTAGCTACAGTGTTTGGCATATGATATCATCAGTAGACGAGCCTATTACATACCAGCTGCGGCTAAGAATTTTGTGGTTTAGCTTAAATCGTATATAGTACTGAATTTGGACCAGGCTCCATATAAACCATGTATGAAATAATCTGGGCAATGTTTTGTTTTGTTTTTGAGAAAATTATTTCAGGTGGCCCACTGTGGCCATTCATATAATGGTAGAAAACAGAATCTTTTCAGCAGTTGAAAGTAACTTTCTTTGCACAGGCCGACTCCCTTAATACTTGCTTGCAGCTATATCTTCTTGAAAGTGTGAGACTGAAAATATTTAAGGGTGGACTTTCTCCACTGTTGGTATGATAGGATGTTGCCAAAAAAGCAGAGACTGGTAGATGTTAACAACCAGAGGGCTCCCATCTGCTCCACAAATATTGTAGAGGCAGCCATGATTCCAACTTTCACCACACCAAGTGCCTTGAACAGCTCATTCTTTTCAAATGCAGCAAAGTATTTACACCTTCTTCCTTCAGTGGTAATAGAAGTCAGACTCAGGAGCATTCCCAACAGTGATAGACCCTTGCCAGTCTTTTTCCAGACCCACATGAAATGTCATGGGAAGAAGTTACTTATTTTTAAAGTCAGCTGCCTCAGGATTCTTACAGTTATCTAAAAGGAGTTGGAAACTAAGTCTTTTCTCAGGTTGGCTTTGTCCCGTATGAAGAAAACTGTAATTTGCAAGGAAGAAAGAAGGGCCTTTGCCTAGTCCCCATTGACTGCTTTTAAGTGAACAGTAAAAATGATCTTTTTCTTTTGTTTTTGTTTGCTTATTTTTGCTCATTAGATTTAGATGCTGCCTTTTCTTTTGGAGCTCAAGGTGGCATAAATAGCAGCCCTCTACCAATTTTGCCCACAACAACATCCCTGAGAGGGAGGTTATGCTGGCCCCAAATCATCTCTCAGCTTCCAAAGCTAAAGGTGGATTTGAACTCAGCGAGCTTTCAATTATTACATGGGCGTTTTATTGTATGCTTTGTTTATTGCAAGCCTGCAGGAGTCTGGGAGGTTTGGGTGGAATACAAATTTAATAAGCAAATAACAATAAAGTGTACTGCACCACATTATTTCTTTCTAACTGAAGGCCTTTCCACACCATTTTTTCCCACATAACTATTTCTTACTCTTTAATACCAAATCCTTACTGGTTTTAAATTGTTATAATTGCGCACAAGCTGTATGCAGCATTGAGCCTGTTTGCATATTAAAGTGAACTGTGGGACTTACATTTGAACATTATACAGGAGGTACCCAGTTTTTTCCCAGAGTCTTTTAGAGTGGGTAGCTATAATATATATCTAAATAATAATAATAACAACAGTAATGCTTCTTATGAATCTCTTTGATATGCTTTTAGAGAATTCTGAAACTCTTGGAACAGCAAGGTTTGCAACACGTTCTCTTCACAGAATGCCTAAAAGATGAAAATATCAAGAAGGTACAATTCTAATGTACAAAATTAATTCTAGTACGATAAGGCTGGATGAGAGCTCTTTATTCTAGAACCAGTCTTCCTGTTCATTGATAGATAAAGCAATACAGTTGGTACAAAAGAGTCATAGAGTTGGGCAGCCTTGTACATTTCTTAAATGAATAAATAAATAATTGTCCTTGGCTCTAAGCAATTTTAGCTTAAGGAATAGCTACAGGGGAGAGGGAGAGAGCATATAACCTCCTCTAAGAGCAAAAAAGACCTAGAATTCCACGGAATCTATCTTTTCTTTTGTTGTAGCTTGTTCCCATTCTCACAGCACTGATCAAAAACAGTCAGCGTTACCAGAGGGCAGAGGTGAGTTAAACTGGACACTTTTGAGAGCAAAAACTTTGCTATGCTTTTCCTTCATACTGAAATACAGTTAGTCCTCGACTTACAACAATTGGGACTGGAATTTCCATCTCTAAGCGATGTGGTCATAAAGCGTGACCGCATCGCTTAGCAACAGCCGTCCTGGGTGCCATCGTTAACTGAATCCCATGATCATTAGGCGAGGCAACTTCCTGCCAACTTCCGACAACCAGAGTCAGGAAGTTGCAAGTCCCAGGCTGGCAGGCAGGTAAGTGACTGCTGCTGGGTGGGGAGGGAATGAGGGGGTACACAAGGTGCGGAGGAGGATTGAGAGTGCGAGATGCACCTTGCAGATCAGGGAGGGTGCGCAAGAGGTGCCATGTGGGTCAGGGAGTGCATGGTGGTGCACAAATGGTGCCACGCAGGTTGGGGAGGTTGCGCAGGGGTGCACAAGAGGCGCGGGTCAGGGAGGGTGTGTAGGGGTGCTTTAGGGGTGCTGCACAAATCAGGGAGGGTGTGCAGCGGTGCATGAGAGGTGCTCTGCCTCTCGAGGGTGTGCAGGGTGCACAAGAGGCCAGCACAACATGAGTGCAAAGGGGTTAGGGAGGGTGCGCGGATGGGGGAGATTTACCCCGGTGATTGGCAACCTCCCCTGCTGGCTTCCCATTGACTTTGGGAAATGCCATTGACAAATGGCAATCACGGGGAGCTTGCCAACCAGTCATAAGTGCGAACAGGTTGCCAAGCACCCAGATCACAATCACGTGACCACCAGGGTGCTGGGACAGCTGTAACTCTGAGAACGAGTCATAACCACCATTCATTCAGCACCGTCGTAACTTCAAACAGTAGCTGAACAAATGGTCGTAAGTCAAGGACTACCTGTAACTACTTGGTTAATAACAAAAAGAATTATCCTATTCTTTCCTGTGGCAATTCCTGATGTGTGGAATTGAATCATTTTTAATGGGATTTATTAGGCTCCATTAGATCTATCTCGTGTGTGTGCACGCGCGCACATGCCTTTAAGTTAGTCTCAACTCCTGGCAACTTCCTGAACAATTCCCTGCAGTTTTCTTGGCAAGCTCTTTTTGGAAGTGGTCTGCCATTGCCTGCTCCCTAGGGCTGAGAGACAGGGACTGGCCCAAGGTCACCCAGCTGGCTTTGCCCTGAGGTGGGACTAGAACTCATGGTCTCCCAGTATCTAGCCTGATGCTTTTAACCCACTATGCCAAACTGGCTCTCTCTGTCTCCTATAACTTTAGAAAACCCTAACCTGAAGATCATAAGCTCACTTTATTCAGAATGATAGCTGTTCTTTCAGAAGATCCTGATGATACCGCTTTTACTTCCCTTCCTAAAATTAAGATTAAATAAAATGGCAAATAATTACCTGGACAAAGACAATAACGAATCAGAACAGACCTTTTGTAGAAGACTCACCCTACATGTGTACTCCTATTAACAAGTTCTTCAGAGAAATTCTAAATTTTAGAAGGTTAACAAATAGTTGAGCATTTTCCTGTGTTTTTCTTTAAAAGATGAATCTCTTTGGCTTCCATCTTCCAGCACCTGGACATATCTCATCTTGAATTGCAGACTTCCTAAGAACAGATGTTCACAGCCTATCAGACCATAAGATCCAGTACATACCGGGTGGGCTTTATGTAGGTTGGTTCTTTCCAGCCTTGTAAGCATCTCAAAAGAGACAGGAGAAGAAAAGTGTCCTGGGTGTAGTAGAACCCCAGATTTCAATCATCATTGGCCTGAAATTATACCCTGGATACTGAGAAGGATGTCTCCATATATTTCACTATCTAGATATTGCTCAAAGATTTGGATTACTTCTTTTCTTTCTTGCTAGTGCCAAGTATGTTTTCAAGGTTACTTTCAGCTGTTTCTGATTGGTTCCAGAATGTGGAAAATAGCATCATGGTAATTGGTGTGCCAAATGTGGGGAAATCATCAATCATCAATTCAGTGAGAAAGCTACACCTCAAAAAAGGTACAGTATTTCCTGTTGCTTCTGTTCTTGACGTGATCAAACAAATTAATATATTTAAATATAGTATTCAGTAGAATTGGTATACAAGAAAACAAGCATGGGCATTTATCATAACACACAAACATGGTAATCTAGTTCAAATTTGCAAATTTGACCTGGCTAAGCAAGCTCTTGGAGGCCAAGGGAAGAGATGTTGGAGTGTTTGAGCTATTCTGCTGCTGAGACCAGAAATCTGTCCAGCAGTTGTGAAAACAGTGTTTACACAATTATGTGGCCATGGACATCCCTGATTAATTGCCAGAGAAGGAATGGATAGCTGGGTTGATTTCCAGAACCAATATCTACTTTTGCCTGTGCTTGATTACCAGCCTAAAAAGCAAAAAGGATAATTAGTTCCCCAGACAGTGACAACAGAACTTGCTACGCGCTGCATCCTTAATGCATATAATTGTTTTTTTTCTTTCTTCCTTCCTTTCCCCATGGCAAAGGAAAAGCCTCCCCAGTTGGTGCGGCACCAGGTATAACCAGAGCCGTTCTCACCAGGATCCAGGTAATCCAATAATTTTTGCACCAAATGGGAAGTGACTGGAGTAGAACCCTGGGTTGCATTTCTGAGTATGGCTAGAAGTAACACGATAGGGGGATTATGTGGTGGGTCTGTTTAATATCACAATGTGACAGAGGAAGTATTTGTGTCACAAAAGCTGCCTCTGTAAGGTGTGTAGAGATGTGCTCCATCCCTAGTTAATTTTGCACAGTGTCTTTGCAAGTCCCCCATCTGTTTTATGCATGCCAAGATGTTATGTTGAAGTTAAGCTCTGTATATTATTTTTTAACTTCTTTCTAAGTTGACACTTGCAGAATGGGTTGCATTAAAAAAAAAAAAAACATCCCTGCCTTCAGAGTTACCATCTGGAATACAAACTTGGGTTATTTTAAGTATTGATTCTTAAGTAATGAAGACTTGGGTACAGTCCAAGATAGGGGGTGCCCGAAAGAGCTGGTCTTTTTCAGCAAAGCTTGGTAGATGCACCTTGTTTCTCATCTCAGAATAGGGTTTCAGAATCGTTTATATGAAACTGATGAATAATATTTGGCCTACTCCATGAGAGCTTAAATAAAAAAACTAGAGGTGGAATCCAGGATGATACATGTTTAAGGGATGTGCTTCAGCCAGAATGTTGATCTTGTAGTCATGGTGGATAACTCTTCAAAAACATAAAGCAAGTTGATGTCTTCAGTCGGCTTTAGACATGTACTAAACCACCTCATCCTATAATCCTCTGTGCCAGTTTTGGAGATTGTAAAACTGAATCTGATACCTTCATATTCTAGGTGTCTGAAAAACCCCTCATGTACTTACTGGATACTCCTGGGGTGCTGTCTCCCCAAATTAAGTCTGTCGAGACGGGGCTGAAGCTAGCATTATGTGGTGAGATGACTTCAGGTGGAGGGTGTATTCCTACAGTATGGGGTAGATGATTAATGAATTGGACTAGATTGGGAAGATCTAGATTCAGGTTCACCCTTAACCGTGGAAGCCGTGTGATGTTGGGTTGGTCATCCTCCCTCACTCCAACCACCTATCCCCACTACCAGATTATAGTGAGGATAAAATGAAGGAAGAACCCCATAGAAGCTGTCCTGAGCTCTTGAAGAAAAGGCAGGATATACAACTTAACAGATTTCTAAAAATTAAAATGTAAATGATAGGGTTGGTGAGTGAGGCAGCTTTTGGACCTTGCTGGATGAGCACAGAATAGCAGTGGAGTCTGTCCGTTGCCAGAGAAATAGGCCAGTCAACCAACATTTTACCCAGCTGCTCTGACTTGGATTTTTAACCCTATTTCCCTGTAACACTTCCGTACAGATATCTGTTCCTCTGTATAGCCTGACACTTCCTTTGTGTGAAACTTACTAGAGAAATAACATTTGCTGTTTTCACAGCCTTGCGCTTCTAATTTCTGCAGTGTTTGTCTAATTTCTGTAGAGTTCAGATGTATTGTATCATTTCCAAATTAACACCCATCCTAAGTCTGGTTTACTGGCTATTTCCCTGTATCTCTGGGGCTCTTTGGGTTGCAGTAATAATCCCAACCTGTGTCCAACTTTGCCAGCAGGAGTATCTTTACATTTTCCCGTCCTGCTAACAGTCTGTCTGTTTTTCACTTACTCAGGAGCAATTCACGATCACCTAGTCGGAGTGGATGTCATTGCTGATTATCTTCTCTATGTACTGAACCAGCAGCAACAATTCAGGTGGGACAGTCCCTGGGCCTGGATGTGGATCCCAGTGGGGCCCTCCATAAGCTACAGGCATCTTTTTTTCCCCCTACTTTGCAGTTATGTGGAGCGCTACGGGCTGAGTGGCCCCTGTGATGATGTGGAGAGCGTACTCAAAAGCATAGCACTGCATTTGGGCAAGGTTCAAAAAATCCAGGTTCTGACGGGCACAGGTGAGTCCTGTCCTCTTGCCATCAGCAGCTGCTGCGAAGCTCTCCATTGATAGGTGACCTGAAATCTGGTGCTTCAGAGTAGGAAGTGGAAATTCCATGAGCAGATGATGCCAGAGCCCAGAATGAATGTATAAGGGAATGTCAAGCCTTTCTAGATCAAATTGTTCTGGGCCTGTGAGTGACAGTCTTTTTTTCCCTTTTTGGGAGGGAAGAATGACTGGAATATTGAAATAACTGGGCTCAGTAACGAGGCTGAAGCTTTCCCTTCTTTTGGCAGGAAATGTGACAGTGTCAGCACCTAATTACAATGCAGCCGCCTGTGAATTTATCCACACATTCCGCAAAGGGCTTCTAGGGAAGGTAATGCTCGATCAAGTTAATTAGATCTTTGTGTGGCATCACTCTGAAGTTTTCTTTTGAAACGTTCTCGGGATGTATCTGGAGCAGGAGGACCAACACTGTGTGCTTAAGAAAGATACCAGCGTGACCTTATCAATAACTCTGGGCTATATGTAGTCACTGTCAACTTCCTGTGCTCCTTTGTGAAGTAGTTTGGTTTCTTCAGAAGCTCAGATAGGTTGGGCCTAGCAATATAAAAGTGGATATTACAGATTGTCCTTTTTGGGACATGGATTTATGCAAACTCCCTTGAAATAGTTTGCCCTGGGGCTTTTTTTGTGGCTATTCCTGGAACATTTCACATCTTCTTTCCAATCCTCAGTGCTGTATGATTAGGTGATTGGTACCAGCTTTTCTTTGATGACAGTAATAGCTAGAGACATCTATTGTTTACCTCCTATTTAAAAAAAAACGTGGAGGAAGATTGTACTGCTTTGTAATTTGTTCATACAACGTAAGATGTGGTTAACAAATGCTGCTGTTTTAAAATAAAATTAATACATTGTCCCAAGTTAAATGATTGCCATCCCATGTGTCCCATATTTTTGGCTTCCCTTGTGGTATTATGAATAAACAATTTAACATTGCTTTTCCATTGGTATTATGCCAACTTCATTCTTGCCAAGGTAGAAAGAGCATATAAATCCATCAAGGATGCAGAAGACTAAAAAGGATAAAAGCAAGAATGAAATGAAGAGGTAAACCGACTCTTCCAAATCACGGCCCTTTTTTCCCTGATAAAATCTTAATTTGCATCAAATCAGCTTTTTGTTGCAAGGCAGAGGCCAATACAGAGTTTTCTAATCAACAGTGAAATATTATAAAGGCTGCGTAAACAGATGGTCTTATGATACATCCTGTCCACATCTTCGAAATGTACAAAAAAAATTCAAAATAAGACAAGTGGATGCTGAAGTCACATCCCAAGGTCCTGCCTCAAGTTGAGACAGGCACGATTGATTTTCTCTGCCAAGAATACAGATTGTTCACAGTATACAGCTGTTCTTGTAACAGGTCGGCAGGGGACGCGCTGCAGAAGCCAGAAAATCTCTGGTGGCCTCTTCTGTATGAATGCAGTGGAGGCAAAAAATAAGGCCCTTTGGCTGCCTCCATTGCAACTGCAGAAGGAATTCAAATGGGCCTCCAGATGAGCCTCATCATGTACAATCTGATCTGTACCAAGAGTTCCTTCACTTGCACTCCATCTGTCATCCCAACTGCTTCATTGCTCTCAGCTCTCTAGTAAATTAAGGGACTGGTCTGACTGAGAGGGAGGAGGGCAGATAGGTGCTAAATTGTCAACTGCACGGTCTGTCTCCCTATTCCACAGATCACATGTAAAATTAACATGTCAATATCACTGACATATACTGTGGAGTTTCCTGAGATCACTCAGGACCCTCCTGAGGCCTGGGTTGGAGGTTTAATAAGTCTTGTACTCCTTCAGACTATACCAGCCTTACTCTAAAATTGACCAGAAAGTGGTCTGTGACCATGGAGTCATACAGGGGTCATCCACCCTCTGATTACCTGCTCCGACCAAGCATAAAGCCAAAACCAATTTACATCCTGCTGCGTGTACATTTACTGTAGGGGTGTGCAGCTATTTGCATCTGAAACTGGGAAGATACTTCACATTTGCTGTTAGAGCGCTCACTGAATCTGTGGCTTCTTAAACCATATTCATATACAGGTAATCCTCATTTAGTGACCACAGTTGGGACCGGCAACTCAGTTGTTAAGCGAAATGATCACTAAGTGAAACTCTGACTGTTCTTATGATCTTACTTCACCTTTCCTTTGCTTTACAGACCTGCAAAGGTCGTAAATGCAAGGATTGATGATAAAGTTACTTTTTCATCACTGTCGTAACTGCAAAATAGTCGCTAAACAAACCAGTTGCTAAATGAGGACTACCTGTAATAACTGTGATCCAAGGAAAGTGCAAGTTTGAAAAGGCAGTGACAAAGTGCTAAGTAGTAGAGCATGGAAATGCTGTGGACATAAAATACCTTGAATCAGCAAAGCACTCCACCACATTCTAATTAGCAAGCTAGTTATACGCAGACCGCATGGCATATTTTATGTATATTTATTTCAAATTATATGGCCACCCATTCATCATGACGACTGTGGTCAGCTAAATGTTAAAAACCAACATAAAACCATAGCGATAAGTACATGATCAGCAGCCAAGGTAAAACCACAAACGCCCATCAACATAGCCATCTTACATTTGTAGGATCCACAGCTGACTTGAAAATTCAGCTCAAGACTGCTGTTCAGTGGTTCCTCATCAAACTGTAGCAAGGTGCAACTTGGATGCAAAGTTCAGTCCTGGGACTGAAGTTTTCAACATGTTAATACATAACTTGAACAAAAAGATAGAAACAAAGCTTATCAAATTTGCAGATGATGCAAACTGGGTGGTGTAGCTAATAGTCGAGAAGCCATAAATAATTTTTTAAAATATTGGGAAAAAAATTTCTAGAGAGAAATGTAAAGATCAAATACACTGAGGTAAAACAAGGGATATCTGGCTTGACAATACTGATTGTGAAAAGATCTTGGCATTATTACTGATCATAAGTAGAATACAGGTCAGCAGGGTAGAAACGCAGTGCATCATGATCTTGGGGACTCCCACTCTTTTCTGCCCTGGTCAGATCCCACCATAACTACTTGGTCCAGTTATGACATTTTAAGAAAGATTCTGAGAGCGGAACAAGGCAATGGAGGGCTTGATGCAAAATTCTGCGAAGTGGGAAAATAAAACCCTGAGAAGCAATTAGGGGAACTGGAAATGTTCAGCTTTATCAAGTACTGTACAGTTCCTAAATGGGTGCCACATAGAAAGTGGGTGTCTTTCCTTATTTATTTATTTATTCCATTTATATAGCTACCCATCTCACATGTGACTCTAGGCAGTTCACAATTAAAAGTTCAACAAAAACAGCAAAATATTAGTAAAACAGACCACATAAAACAGTGTTGTCCAAACTTGGCCACTTTAAGATGAGTG